GATCTGTGCTATTCAGAAAAAATGCTGAAATATCAACCATTAGTGAATGCTCTGAAAGTGTGTGGCTACAACACAAAGTTGGTGGTTTTAATTTACGGTAGCCTTGGGCATGTTCATAAACTGTGTGTGAGAGGACTACAAATTGCCGGACTCAGTAAAAAAAACTCTAAACAAATTGCAAAGTATTGTTCTGTATCTGCAATAATAGGCAGTCTTCATGTGTGGAGAAGACGATGCCATCTCTATCCTTAATCCATTTACTTAATACTGCACGCAGAATGGATTGAGTGTCTAGTGCCACGCAAAAGATCATCAATGGTTGCATGCTGCTTTTATTGTGAAACATTATGGGCTCCTTACGATTATTTGGATGCTGTGTTGTTTTAATAGTATTAGTCATTCCAAATAAAATGAATCAAATGTGTATATATATATATATATATATATATATATATATATATATATATATATATATATATATATATACACATACATACATACACTTACACTTTTTTGCCCCACCTGGAATGTCACTTGGCCCACCCTAAAGTTGCAAGCTGGAGCCAAGTTCTATTATTGTTACTGAAAATTTGACTGATGATTATTTATGAGAGTTATGAGTGAATGTAAAATTATACAAGACATTTTACGTTATATTTATAATATTGTGTTTAAATATATTCTGCCTTTCGTTTACTCTCTCAATCTCTGTCTCTATCTGTGTGTGTGTGTGTGTGAGTGTTTACAGAAATTTGGCATGCTAATATCATCATGCCCTGCATACTGTTCATTCCTTTAAATCCACAGAGAGCAACAGCTCCTCATTCAGACCTCTTCTTAACGCTCACATCACAGCCAGCAATCTGCTTCAGAACATGGGTTTGGCCATCACATTCACAAGTACAGCTTATAATGATTCAGTATTAGTAAACGCAAGTATTTGTGAACAAGTGTATTTTTAACACGTGTATCTAAAGCCTTAACCACCTGAAATAAAATGTTCTAATAAAAATGTAATAATAAAAGACTAAGTCACAAATTTAAGTATTATCCATTAAACCACGACAGTAAATTACAAATACACAAGGAATCTGCAAAAACTGTGATGCATTTCATCACACATCTGTAGAGTTTTATACCGGCAAAATGAGAATATTGTCTACTGGAAGAGGAAAGGAAAGAAAGAAAAAAGAAAGAAAGAAAGAAAGAAAGTACAAATAAAAACAAAAGGAACAGGAAGGTAAAAGGGAATGAAGAAAAATGTAAGAAAAAAATAATAAAAAGAAAAGAAACAAGAAGGAAAAAAAGACAAAGAAAAAGAAACAAGAAAGAATGAAGGAAGAAAGGAAGGTAGGAAGGCAAAAAGAAAGAAAGATAGAAAGAAAGAAAATATTGAAAGGAAGGAAGGAAAGAAGGAAGGAAGGAAGGAAGGAAGGAAGGAAGGAAGGGAGGAAGGAAGGAAATAAGAAAAGAAACATGATGGAAATGGGGAAGGAAGAAAGGAAGGAAATTGAAAAAGGAAAGAAAAATTAAAAAGGGAGGAAAGGAGTAAAAAGGAAGGAAGAAAGAGGAAGAAAGAGAGAGAACAAGAACAGATAATATGAAAAGAAACTGGAAGGAAAGAATGAAGGAAGAAAATTTAAATAAAAGAAATAAAGGAATGTAGGAAGAAAAAAGAAAAGGAAGAAAGGAAAAGAAGAAAAAGAAATAAAACCCGAAGGAAAGAAGGAAAATAGGAAGGAAGAAACAAAGGAAGGAAGGAAGGAAGGATGGGAGGAAGGGAAAATGAATAAAGCAAAGAAAAAAGAAAACAGAAGAAAGAAAGAAAACAACGGAAGGAAGGAAAAAAAAGAAGGAAGAAAAGAGAGAAATAAGAAAAGAAACAAAGAAAATAGGGGAGGAAGAAAGGAAGGAAAAATAAAAAAAGGAAGGAAGAAAAAAAGAAAGGAGAAAATAAGAACAATGAAAAGAAACCGAATGAAAAGAAACCAGAAGGAAAGAAAATAAAAAGAAGAAAGGAAGAAGGGGATGAAGGAAGAAGAAATAAATAAATAAAAATAAAGGAAAAATAAAAAATAAAAAGAAATGAAACCAGAAGGAAAGAAGAAAAACAGAAAGGAAGGAACAAAGGAAGGACCAAAAGAAGAAAGAGAAAAGAAAATGTGAAAAAAGAAAAAAGGAAGAAAATAGGAAGTAGGAAAAAAGGAAGGAAAAAAGAAAAGAAGGAAAAGAGGAATAAAGAACGAACAAATAGGAAATGAAATCAGAAAGAAAAAAGAAACAAGGAAAGGATGGAAGAAAAGACAAACAAAAATAAAACAGGAAGGAAGGAAAAAATAGTAAGAAAAAATAGGAAGGAAAGAAGGGAAAAATGAAAAAACAAATAAAAAGAAAAGAAACTGGAAGGAAGGAAGGAAGGAGGGGAAAGAAAGGACTCCCTCTGCTAATTGTGCTAATGGAGCAGTGTCAGTCTAATCCTGCTATTGACATTATATGATGTGTTTAGTTGGATTTTTACTTCTTGATGTGTAGATGTATATGTGTTTCTGTGTATGTGGATGAGCTGACCTCTCTCCGTCTCTTCATTCACATTTACTAGTTTCTTTAAAAACACTGACGCTGTAGTTAATCCAGGTCTTCACCAGCAGAAATAAATTCTTCAAATAAAATAAGCAGTTTAATCTGCTCCACTGTGACCGACTCAACCCAAACCTACATCTCTGAGCCAGATCCAGACTGCTGTTTCTGATGAAGAAACACTGAGTGAGGACTTCAGCTAATGTCTTTCCTTGATGATATCACATCACCAAACACTGTGATCAATCTGACTGATGAAGAGTGTCAATAAAACGCCATTAAACTCTGCTATCAGCACACAAATACAGCACATACTCACACTTGAAATCTTGAAACCTTCGAAGCTTTTTTAAACACTTCAGCAGCAAGAAGAAACAATGAAAGACGAAGCGGGGAAGACACGAACAATACCAGGAAACATCAAAACAAAGACAAAACACTGAAGACGTGCCAAAGCAACAGCTGGAGGACTGAAACAAAGAGCTGTGAATCCCCATTCACCAGTTTGGGGGAGTTTCATTTTGTAATGTACTCTGTTATAAGCTGACTTGCATAACGGAGTTGCAGCACTGAAGTTAGAAGTGCATATTATTCACAAAATACACCTTCATTTGAAAATGAATCAGCCATTTTGAATGAATGATTGGTTGATTACGATTTAAAGAGAACCTTTTTTGAGCTGTTGACAGTCGTATATGTGTCCCACACTGCTAAAAACACTATTAGGACACCTATATTTTACTAAAAAGTGTAAATTGGTTGTTTTTGCGTTATTTCAAGCAAATTCGTACTTCCGGTTTGAAACAAATTTTTGAAGCTGCGTCACGGTCATGAGATAATAGCGTGTATTCCAGCGTGCAGACTGGACGTCTGTGCCAGAGTGAGTCTTATTACGTCATACAGTGTGATGCATTAATGCATGAGTAAGGCTTGGTTCAAACCAATCAGCGCGCTCTATTGTGCAACTTCATTAATATTCATTAGTGTCACAGTGTTTAGACGACAGAGACGCCACGTTGGCAAAACAAGCGTGAAGTGTTGCTTTTATAGTTTGCTGCAGTTAAGTTTTGTTTTCATTTTCTCTCTGTGAGAGCTCAGCTGGAGTCACGTGTGGATTAACAGTGTACGCGACGCTCGACAACAATAACTTGCGTGTCTAAGGAGGATTATTGTTTACCTGAGAGCTGTTCTCATCTGCAAACGCTGAAATCCGGATTCGCTTGTAGTATTCTCTTAATAAAGACGCGGCTCTAGTTGCTGGTGATTGTCCTGTCTCCACAGATTTGGTAAGTGAGTGACCAGCGCTCTTTGTTTATTCAGTTTGTTCGTATCGAACTAACTATTGCACAGAGTGTAAACATGTTAGCACCACAACCAAACTTTAACCTCGGGTAGGGTTTTTACCGCATTTTGTGACCAGAATAACACACGCGGCTTTCTGACACTACCTGCCGTGTGCATCTAAGTTTCCGGGAAATGCTGAGGTTTTTTTCTCTCATTCGCCGTACAGTATCAAACATTGCATGAAAAATACACACTTAGAGCAGTTCCTCGAATCAAATATCTCGTTTGTCGCGAGGGACATGAATGAATTCCCTGAATGAAAGAGCCAAACTGCAGTTAAAGTCCAACATTTAATAATTTGGCAAATAATTCGACTACAGATGTCCATGTAAACACAGTCACTTTGTCCCCTGTGTGTGTGCGTGTTTTGACTCTGAAACTCAGCGCGCCCAATAGACACTCCCACACCATCCCTCTTTTGCTCCTCCGACACTCCCCCCTAAACAGAGCTGGACACGCCCACTTTTCTGACTTTTTCAAAGTAGAGGTGTGAAAACACTCCGCTGAAACGAGGCGGTTTCATGACCCTTTAAAGTTGACAATAATTAATTTAACGGACTGAGAGTTAAATTAATTAGTTAAATTAATTAGTTAAATTCACAATTCTCTGTGTTCTTAAATTAAATACAATTTAATTTGAATTCATGGAACTTTTGCTGCTAAAAACGCAAATAAAAAGCATTGTAGACAAGACGGGGATACAGTGGGCTCTCTGTTTGGGGGGGTTGTATTGCAGAAAGCTGGTGTGTGAAGCAGGGATCAGATGCACC